TCTCTCTCTCTTTTTGGCAGATGCCAGCGATGGGTGGAGAACTGCCGAAGGGTCGATCTGGAGGATAAAACCCCGGATCAGCTAAACAAGCATTACAGGCTGTGCGCTGAGCATTTTGAGACCTCCATGATATGTCGGAGCGTAAGTGGAAGGGAAGCGGTGGACGGTGTAAGGAGAATGGGAGGGGAAATTGGGAGAGCAAATAAAAGCAACAGCTTACCAAAACCTCCTTTCCCCTTCCCTTCCTTCCTTTTTTCCGTTCCTCCTCTTTTCTTTTCCCTCCCTTTCCTTCCTTTCATTATCCCTCTCCTCTTCTTTCCCTTTCCCTTCTTTTCTTCTTCCTCCTTTTTTCTCTTCCTTCCCTCTCTCTCCTTCCTTTCATTATCCCTCTCCTTTCCCCTTCCCTTCTTTCCTTTTCCCCTTTCCCATTCTCTTCCTCCTTCCCTTTCTTTTTTCCCTTTTCCTTCCCTCACTTTCCTTTCCTTCATTATTCCTCTCCTTTCTCCTTCCCTCCTTTCCCTTCTTTTCCCCTCTCCTTTCCCCTTCTCTTCCTCCTTCCCTTCTCTCTTCCCTTCCTCCTTCCCTTTTTTCCCTCCTTCCCTCCCTTCCCTTCATTCTCTCTCTCCCCTCCCCTCCCTTTCCCTTCTTTTCCCCTTCTTCTATTCCTCCTTCTCTCTTCCCTTCCCGTCATTATCCTTCTCCTCTCCTTTCTTCCCCTTTTTTCTTTATTTTTTCTTTTCCAGAGCCCCTACAGGACAGTTTTACGAGACAACGCCGTGCCCACCATATTTGACTTGACCAGCCATTTAAACAACCCTCACAGCAGGCACCGCAAAAGGATTAAAGAGCTGGTAGGTTTGGCTCAGGCTATAGAGGTTGCTGACGATAAATTCAAAATGACATCTAGCTTCTAAATCTGGTTATTTCCCCCCAACGTGGCGATTTTAAGATGTGTGGACTTCAATTCCCCGAGCTGAGCTCTTCATTCTGACTAAAAGGACTCAAAGAATCAGTCCTTTCCCCTTCCTTCCTTCCTTCCTTCCTCCCTCCCTCCCTCCCTCCCTCCCTCTCCTTCTGTCTGTACATCCCTCCCTCCTTTCTTCTCCTTCCTTCCCTCCGTCCCATACATCCATACATTTTCCTTCCATTTCTCCTCCCTCCCTTCTTTATATACATCTAAAGTGAAATACCCCTCACACATCATCACAAAATCTCCAGAACCATATGTTGAGGTAATTCCCCGTTAGGAGAATGAGCGCATACAGGGAGACATATTTGAGAGAAGTGTTTGAATAATACACACACACACAACACAGATACACTGTACAATAAATGTAGGTTTTTACTTCCAGAAAGGTTTAAGCAAAGTTCAAGATAAGCAGTCCAAAGTCATTCACAGGTAAATCAGTCAGTTTTTCAATCCAGGGATAATCCAATAACAAATTCCAGTGTCAAAAACATTTCAGTATCAGACTTGCATCAAATCCAGTAATATCAGTCAATTAGGAAAAATGGAGGAAGGCAACACTTTCCAACAGAAGGAAACAGATACACTCACACTCTCTTCTGAGACTAAGACTAAGACAAACCAGGTTTCCGGCTCCATCTTATGGCTGTTTGAGAAACCACACCTAATTACAGTTTTGCATTTTCTTAAAGATACAGTTTTAAAATGTTTATCCTGGTTTATATATTTCTAACCCAAATACCTGTTAGGTGACTTATATTCCTAACACCATAAAGCCTACAAACTTGAAATTTGGCACGTAGGTTCCTCTTGGCTTCTAGGGGCCCACTAAGAAAGGATTTTTCTAAATGACCATCAGAGCATTCGTATTTCCTATATTATTATTATTATTATTTTATTATTATTATTATTCTCTGATACCAAGGAGTTCTAATCCCCCTCCCCAACTGGAAAGAAATGTCTTCCAAATGCAAAACACAAGCAGAGGAGTTTCAGTTTCACAGCACCAAGCAGCTTTAGTACAGAACACTTGAGCTAAGCCATGCTCCTTGCTGTCTCCTTGCTCACACAGCAAATATTGTTTCAGTTTCCAAACAGCCCTCAACTCTCACACACTGACAGGACGCTAGCCAGATGAATACCGATGGATACTGTTAGGCAGAAGCAGAATTTCTTTTTCCCTTATTTTCCTCCCCAAAAACTAAGCCTGACCACATAGTTTCGTAGCGAAGAACGGGTATCCAGCTAGTACATATATATGTACATACATTTTCCTTCTATTTTTCCTTCCTTTTGGTAATATTTCATTAACATACATAGAAAAATCTATGTTTAAAATGTTTCGCTGTCTTATTCCCATCAGGCTGGAACCCATTATCCTGTTTTTCCATTGAAATATCATTTTGAATAGCGCCAGTTTGAATTTTGCCACCATCTTGTGCGATTCATTTAACGGCAGAAATTAAAACTGACCTGTGCAGAAAGTTTGTGTAGTGCTCTAAAATAATATCAGCTCCTTTTTCTAGATCTAGAGGAACTGGGTTTGTTGTTTTGAAGGTTTAACCCTGGCAAGATTCAAAACGGTGGGTGTTCAGAAAATGCAGAAATACAGGATTTCTTTGGATCACTCAAGAAAGGCTTCTCAAATGTGTAAATTTAAAAACCTCTCCCTTTTCGTTCCCCCAGAGCGAAGAGGAAATACGAACATTGAAACAGCAAAAGAGTAAGTTGAACTACTTATTTTTTAGAATTGGGTAGTACATCAGTAACATTGGGCAGTAAAATGGTTTTAGGATACGATCGGGGGTCGGTCACCGGAGCCAGAGGTTTAGTCCTTTTTTTTTTTATCTTTCGCACCTGGTTCCCGGGCCTCAACCACTTCCCTGGCTGTTATTGTACCTGCTCGGCCAACAATCTTAGTAGCTGCGGAATTGAATGTTCATTGCAACGTGAGGCTACCGATGAGTTCAGATCTTCTTGTCTGATAGCTCACTTGTGTTCCTGCAGTCTGGTGGTTAGCTTGTCTGTCCTAAAATAAGTCATAGGAGCAATCCACGCAGGGGATCCAGTAGATTACATTAGGAGTACCGTATTTCCCCGAAAATAAGCCCTGGGTCTTAGTTTTTTGCCACCAAAAAAAAGGCACCAGGTCTTATTTTCAGGGGAGGTCATCCACTGACTAACCTCACTTGCGCGCATCACCCCCGGCCTCCTTTTCGCTGTCAGAAGCCTTCAGGAACTTCTTCTTCTGCGGCCGGCAAGGCTTTCCTGAAGGCCTCTGCAAGCGGTATAACAGACCTCTGGATCGATCCAGAGCTTTGTTCTCAGCTACAGAGGCCTTCAGGAAAGCCTGACCAGCCTTGCCGGCTGCAGAAGAAATGGGCCGGCAAGGCAGGTGTCCGGGTGTGTGAGGCCTGGCTACACCTGTCCAAAGGTAAGTAGTAGGGCAGCTCCACCCACCCCTCATCCCCACCCTAGCTTAATTTTTACCCGTCCACTCTGGAGTGGGCGGGATCTTAATTAGGGCTTATTTTGGGGGTAGAGCTTATATTGGGCACACATGTCAAAGTCAAGCTAGGACTTACTTTCAGGGTAGGCCGTATTGTCGGGGAAACAGGGTATCTCCTGCCTCCAAGCGATCTTTAAAAATAGTTTTAGCTTTCCTGTGGAGTTGAGCCTCACAGGGTAGGCCGGATCAGAGATTTAGCCTTTCGAGAAAGCTAAAACAACTTTTCTGGAGATGGCCCTTAATAACCGAATCTTGCAAGTCGGTGCGGGACATCTCCCTACCTTTCCTTCTTATACTCCCAGGGAATCAGGGAGGTGTCTTCCAAACTTTATATTGCTTCCCAGGACTTATGGTTTCAACACCCCCACACCTTTGTATGGGTAAGATTATTTGAATATGTCCATCAAAGTCATCTTCCTTATTCTCCACCAGACCAAATTAGGTAGGATTTGGTGACGGCGTCCTGTTGTCCCCTATCTTTCCCACTGCTGTCTGTGCTCCTTGGAATTATTTAGAAAGTGTGTGTGTGTGTCTCCCTCCTTTCACTTCCTTCCTCCTTTCCTTCCTTCCTTCTGCCCTCCTTCCCGCTCGTCCTTCCTACCTTCATTCCCCTTTTCTCTTTCACTTCCTTCCTGCCTTCCTTCCTTCCTTTCCCTTTTTCTCTTTCTTTCACTTCCCTCTCTTCCTATTTTCCTTCCCCTCTTTTCTCTTTCACTTCCTTGCTATCTTC